TTTTTTGAAGAATAACAAAAATTTGGATAGAAGTTCTATTTTTTATATTACATTCTTAGAATGATATAATGAAATCAAGGTAAAATACTAATACATTATGAGAGAATATTGTTATTAATCAATTCTAATAAAAAAAAATATATTCTTAATGAATAACAAATCAATTATGTAAGAGTACAATGTCAATGGCATTTTGTATGAATACATTCTGCTAGAATATATTGTCGTCCTTCCTTGTGTTCTTTCTTTTCCTCTTCAAAACCTAAAACCAGATGTCATCTGAGCTTAGTAACTGCATAAAGTCAGGAAAAAATTAGTCACCTCGATCACCATGTTTGTAAATTAATATGGAAAAAGTGAAGTATGGTTATTCATAGCTTAACAACTGTGTATATGCCTTAATTTGAAGCTGCAAGAACTTCACATAGTGGACAGCTTCTTCAAGCATTGTGCTAATGTCAACCTTCGTCCCATTTGCAACAAGGTTCTGAAGGACTTTAATCATAAAATTTATTCCATAATTGTTTTCATCATAGAGATCAACTGAATCATGATGATTACACACACCATTCTTCTGATGAGAGTGAGAATCATGAAAAACAACAAGAGCCCACATAAAAAGATCCGCCATTGAAGGGTTTCGGTGAAGAAAGCATCGATCTTGAACTCATGAGGCTTCATAATTTATGTGGCCCTCCGAGGTTTCTTTTCACAATCAACAAAGAAACCAGTTTGGATATGGAATCAGAAGGTAGAAGGGGTTCAAGAACAGTAAGTTTGAGTGAGCTTCTTCACACACCAGATACACCAATTTCGTTATCGCATTTTAAGAAGGCCACACAAGGTCCCAATTTGGAAGTTTATATGAATCCATTGTATGATTTTGACTCTAAGGATTTTGATTTCAACAAGATTAGATCTTCACCACCTCCCACGTTCAAATTCTTAAGAGATGCGGAGGAGAAATTATTGAGAAGATTGATGGAATTAGAATATGAGAAAAGGGCGAGTTTAAACCCAAAACCCCATTGATTCAACCCAAACATCCATTCCCGTCATCATCATAATCAATTTACTAGCAAACCCAAAACCCCATTGATTCAATCAAAATAAAGAGAAAGAAGAGCCCTTACCTATTAGCGATCGGAGCAGCAACCTCCTACCATTACCACCGTCTCTAGTCCCCTCTATCACAGAACCAACCTCCGATGCACTCACCTCCTATCAACCGGAGAAAAACCACCACCGAAGTGTCGATGCTTCCCCCCTTCGTTCTTCAACCTCGCCTACTGTTTTTGTTTGTATTCTTCCCATTAGACCCCTCATCAGACACTTCCCTTCACAACCTACTGTCGGAGGAGGAAGAACGCAACCCCACTGCTCCCTCACGTCCCCTTTTCCGGCTAAACGAGAAGAGGGAGAAGAAGACTGGGCGGCGACGACGAGGTGATGGTGGTCCGGGAGAATCGTACGAAGGACGGAATTATGGTGGGTCGATGCTGATATATTGTATATATTGTAGGGTTTTAAACTAAAATCCCTAATTAAAAGGGGATATTAAATGTTTTCAAAATTTACTAAAATTAAATAGATTAAACATTACTATTATACCCGTTAAATAATTTATTAATTATTTAATATTTCTTAAAAATT